AAAGTCGTCAACAACGATGGTCTAGATTTCGAAGAACAATTGTTGTTGTTTTACGTTGTTAATTTAAGCATAGAACGGAATTTTCGAAATTTTCCCAGAATTTATTTCTCAATCGTAGGTATAATAACGTCACTGCCAGCTATCAACGGTCGGATTTGTGACCTAAGTAAACTCTACATCGTCACCTTTTATGCATCCACCGACAAGGTAGCTCAATCAAAAGATCTCTTTTTCTTTTACAATTTATTCATCATAAAGATGGGTATCCCTCTGATCCTTAGCACGATAATTTGTGGTCAATGAGCTATCGACTGATTTCAATGCGCAAGAAAAATTTCTTATAACGGACTTAAGTGGCAACGCAGAAATGAACGTACATACACTCACACTCACACCGATCCTCGCGTCGGCCCTCATGTAGTGGTGATTCGTTTAGCAAAATACAGTCTTAAAAATTGATTAATAGAAATAGTAATCATTAGTCGCAGATGGGATGTTCAACTTCTCAGGAGATCATACATGGGACTTCTGCTGTCACGACACTGTAAAAATCCCACAAGTGGGTAGTTGAACAATGATGGCAATGGCAGAAACAACAATAATACAGTAATAACAATATGATAATGCTAGAACAGCAAGAGCAGATGGTGAACATAACATAAAAACTAAGTGTAATATGGAAGCAGGATTTGTTCGAGGAAATAATTACTATACCACGTATGAGTTTTCGTTCATTCAAGCTGATCTTCATGTCATGAAGGCGTCACTTGATTCAGCAGTCAGATACCAAGCGTTGGAGAAAAACCACTCGACGTTAAGTTAATTTGGGGTTAGTTAGGCAGCGGATATGCTCAAAAATGTAATAGTGGAAGTGTGGGCAATAATGTATAACTCAAACAAATGTCTATCAAATTCGGCGCAGAACAAAATATCATTATTTCTACGGTATCTCATACAATACATTTTCCCTCCGATATTCCGTGAATGGTGCGAATTCAGTCTACAATGCACAGCATAAAGTCAAGGTTTCGACCGTATGAACCGTGCCTCTGCTCATTTGAAAAGGTTTCATTCGGGCCATCCAATCGCGAAAATTGAATCAGCTATGTTACTTATGTTCTGAGTGATTTTCCAAGCTGAAACCTGAAATATTTTGTGTAGTAGCAAAATTCACCTAGAGGGTTTATAAATACACTAAGTAGATATAATACAATGAGTGGCAGTTTCCAGCTCACAATCAACGAGAGAGCGGTGCATGCTTCGTCATAACTTACTCTGTTTCGTACATTTGCTGCTTATCTATTCAAGTCATCGATGTGCCTATTCTAATTCAATATTTAAACCTTTCTTGACGAGAGATAAACGATGTTTCATGTCGTTTTTATATGCTACAAATTAACGTATGAGTTCGACATATATGGTACTAGCGCGTGAAACTCTTGAAGTAACAAAACGAATTCAGGAATTGATGGGATCTATACCAGTTCAAATAGTAGTGTTAAGGAATGTGAACGACGGAAGGATATTGATATGCTTGCCCAGATGTGCCTTCCACGTAAAAATAGCGTTGCTCAGTCAGATGAAATGAATTGAGAAAACGCGACATGAGAATTACTTCATTCTTGTAAATTAATCTTTACTGGTTATTTCTCCTGATTGTGATAGCGTAATGTTTTCCTGAAAGTGTTCTATTGATACTGTTCTATTTGTGGTGGAAGGGTATGCCGTTTATTACAGCTGGAAGTCCTTGTTCTTGTTCCTTGAAGCTAAAAACGAGTATTTATAATGTAATTGATGATTTCTATTTGTTCTGTTTGAGCAAAGAGATGGAAAAGTTTGTATTGGCGCAATTTTACTACTTTCCGCAGCAAATGGTGTTTTGGCAGGAGAAATATATGCCTTTTCTACCTGATATCTTCTGGACCTACTCGACTCAGACTAAAGTACTATTCTGTACTTTTCAAGAATTTTTCAAATAATTAGTCATATATAGTTGATTTGAGAATCAGTCTAATGGAAAGAAGGTGGACCACGATGTATGAGTCACTGTTTCTGTCCACGATCATGGTTTGTGTATAGTTTATGTTACTGACGTTAGCGATCTGAAATCAGAGACGCTGTTGTGCACGCCAGGCTATCAAATATCAGATGGATGCGCAGGTGATGGGTTCCAACAGCAGTAGATGTATGAGACCTTAGAGCAAATGGATTTCATGATATTTTAGGAGCTCAAGACTAACGAACCGATTACCTGACTCCTTCACAAAAATTCTACAATAGGAGCGTGATGCTTGATGAGCACTTAGTGCGAGAAGGACTCACTGAGCTGTCCTTGCAACGAGATAGGAAAAAATAGAACTTATAACGCACTCGCTCAAATGCATATGAGCGTTACAATTTGACAAGTGAAAGAACACCCGACGGCTTGATGAAGTCTGTAACAGCTTCTTCATAGCACATGTAAGGCTAGGTCTTTCACCTTATTATGTCAGCTGGCATGTGAGACTTCCGAAAAGAGGACAGTTGTTGCAATCCGAAAAGAGGACAGTTGTTGCAATGACTGTTTACCACGCGCTATATAACACTTACCTTGGTCTTCCGGGAGACAAAAATTGATCAGCGTAAAAAAAAATTTCTCTAAACATTTTCGTAAGACGATTCGATTCATATGATTTTTCAAAAGTGTGCCAGCTGTAGTAAACGATGAAATGTTTTCTTCTACTTTGTCGCCCATTTGATACCCTCGATGGAGAATCAGAGCTGCACAAAGTTTTATTTGGAAGAGGACAATGTGTTGAACCTGAATGTCACCAATAGAAAAGGATTCGATTCATCCTGAATTTATATGTTTTTTCAAAAGATGTGCAAACTGAGACAAGCAATGAACTGTATTTTTCTACTTCGATGCCCATTTTCACACCCTCGGTGAATATTCAGAACTGGAGAAATTCTTATTTGGAAGAAGACAATGTGTTGAAATTGAATGTGACGATCAGAAGACGATTCGATTCATTCTGAATTCAAACAATTTTAAAAAGATATGAAAGCTTTAGCAAACAATGAACTGTTTTCTTCTACTTCGATAGCAATTTTCACCCACTCGGTGAAGATTCAGAGCTGGGCAAAGTTTTATTTAGAGGAAGACGATGTGTAGGAATTGAATATAACGAACAGAAGACGGTTTGATTCATTGCTGAATTTATGTGGATTCTCTGAATGTTGTGAAAGCTATCAAAAATATGAACTGTTTTCTTCTTTTTCGTCGATCATTTTCACACACTCGGTGAAGATTCAGAGCTGGGTAACGTTTTATTTGGAAGAAGACAATGTATTGTAATTGAATATGAGGAGCAGACGACGATTCAATATATCTCTGAATTCATATAAAATCTTTGAATGGTGTAAGATCAAACACAACCAATGAACTGTTTTCTTCTTATTCGTTCCCCCCTTTCCACACACTTGGTGAAGATTCAGAGTTGGACAAAGTTTCATTTGTTTCAAATAAATACCAAGTTGAACAATCACATAAATTCGGAATGAGTCAAATCGTATTCTGTTCGTCATATTCAAAACCAACACATTGTCTTCCTCCAATGGAACTTTGCCCAGCTCTGAATCTTCACCCAGTGTGTGAAAATGGAGGGCGAAGGAGAAGAAAGCAGTTCATTATTTGTGTTTGCTTTCACACCATTCAAAAAGTCATGTAAATTCAGCAATCAATCGATTCATCTTCTGTTCGTCATATTCAATCACAACACATTGTCTTCTTAAAACCACAGCTCAAATTTCATTATGCCTTGCAATCATATTTGAGCAAGCCATGTCAGTAGTGTGTCAAGCAGGGCTGTCTCATAGAGCCTGATACACGTGTTTCGATCTTGCGATCTCGTCAGTTGGCCAGTTACCCTTTCTCATCTTTTGCTAATCTCTGTGGGAGCTTCAGACCCCACACTAAGAGTTACATTGAATATACTAGCCTCGAGCAATCGAGTGTATAACACTCTGTGTTTGATGAGTTTTCACTGTACATAGAGTGTGAAACGTTTGTCGTCGCTAACTCTTAGTGTGGGGACTGGAGCTCCCACAGAGATTAGCAAAAGGCGAGGAAGGGTAACTGACCGACATACGAGATCGCTGATGGAAACACGTATATCGGGCTCTATAAGTGAGCCCTGTTTGACAGACTACTGATAGGGGTGGCTCAAAAACAGTTCATTGTTTGCCACACCTTTCACCCCTTCCCAAAGATTCCTATGAATTCAGCAGTGAATCGAATCGTCTTCTGTTTGTCATACACAATTTCAACACATTCTCCTCCTTCAAGTAAAACTTAGTGCAGCTCTGAATCTTTACCGAGTGTGGTAAATGGGCGACGAAGCAGAGAAAACGATTCATTGTTTGTCTCGGCATGCCACCTTCTGAAAAAACATGTAAAGTCAGCACCTATCAAAGCGCCTTCTGTTCGTCACATTCAATTTCAACACATTGTCTTCTTCCAAGTAAAACTTTATCCTGCCCTGAATCTTCACCGATTATGCGAAGATGAGCGACGAATTAGAAAATAATAGTTAATGCCTTGTCATAGCTTTCACACCTCCCAAAAGGTTCATATGAATTCAGCAGTGAATCGAATCGTCTTCTATTCGTAATACTCAATTTCATCACATTGTTTTCTTCCGAATAAAACTTTTTCCTGCTCTGAATCTTCACCGAGTGTGTGAAAATGGGCTTCGAAGCAGAAGGGGTGGAAAGCGAGGTGGCATCCTGAGACAAACAATGAACTATCTTATTCTGCTTCGTCGCCCGTTTTCGCAAACTAGGTGAAGATTCAGAGCTGGACAAAGTCATATTTGGAAGAAAACAATGTGTTGAAATTGGATGTGATAAGCAGAAGGCGATTTGATTCATTCTAAATTCATATGGTTTTTGAAATGGTGGCATGCTAAGAGAAACACTGAACTATAAACCTAAGAGAATTGACTGTTGAGCAAATACACGGCCTCAGGCGGGAATCGAACCCTCGCTTCATCCTATCCGGGGAACGCGTGCTTTACCACTACACCACCGAGGCACTTTTGCCCGACCACTCATTCATCAACGTCTCAATGTTTCACTGCTACAGCATGCACACAGTAGAGAAAATCATACAAATTCAGAATGAATGGAATCGTCTTTTCTTCGTCATATTCAATTTGAGCACATTGTCTTCTTCCAAATAAGACTTTCTCCAGCTCTTAATCTTCATCGAGGTTGTGAAAATCGGCGACGAAGCACAAGAAAACATTCCATTGCTTGCAAAAGCTTTGATACGTTTTTGAAAACCTTTTGAATTCAGAATGAATCGAATCGTCTTCTGATTATCACATTTAGTTTCAACACATTGTCTTCTTCCAAAAAAAGTCTTCGTCCAGCTCTGAATCTTCACCGAGTGTGCGAAAATGGGCGACGAAACAGAAGGAATAGTTCTTTGTTTGTCTCAGCATGCCACCTCGCTTTCCACCCCTTTTGCTTCGAAGCCCATTTTCACACACTCGGTGAAGATTCAGAGCTGGACAAAGACTTTTTTTGGAAGAAGACAATGTATTGACACTGCGTATAGCAAACAGAAGACAATTTGATTCATTGCTGAATTTATATGAATCTTTTGGAAGGTATGAAAGCTGTGACGAACCATGGACTGTTTTCTTTACTCGTCGCTCATTTTCACATTCTCGATGAAGCTTCAGAGGTGGACAAAGTCTTATTTAGAAGAACACAATGAATTGAAAGAGAATGTGATAAACAGAAGACGTATCGATTTATTGCTGAGTTCATATGAATTGTTTGGAAGGTTTGAAAGCTGTGACAAACAATAAGCTGTTTTCTTCTACTTCGTCGCTCGTTTCACACAATAGGTGAAATTCAGAATTGGACAGAGTTCCATATGTTTCAAAAAATACTGAGTTGGAAAATCATATAAATTCAGAATGAATCAAATTGTATTCTGTTTGTCATATTCAATTTCAACACATTGTCTTCTTCCAAATAAGACTTTCTCCAGCTCTGAATCTTCACCGAGGGTGTGAAAGTGGGCGATGAATTAGAGGAGAACATTTCATCGTTTGCAACATCTCGCACAGTTTTGAAAAATCATATAAATTCAGAATGAATTAAATCGTCATATGATCGTTCATTGTTTCATCAAATGTTTTACACACGCTCTTTCTACGTTACAGGGCGTTATCATTCAACAGCCAATCGTCTACGGTCTGGCGTGGGCAGTCACTTATCGACATTGAGCCCACTGCTGACAGATATTGGGTCTCAACAATCAACATCATGATTTATTTCAATCTTACTGCGAATTATTGAGGTGGTATGGTTTTAGAATAAACCCAATAATGTCGAGTGCTGTGCAAAAACAAGCGTCAGCCGAGGTTCGTACCGAGATCTCTCTCTTTCCGATAGCGTGTGCTAAACCGTTCACCACCGACGCTTGTTTTGCACACCGCTCTTTCTACGCTACAGGGCGTTATCATTCAACAGCCAATCGTCTACGGTCTGGCGTGGGCAGTCACTTATCGACATTGAGCCCACTTATGCTGACAGATATTGGGTCTCAACCATCAATCATAATTCATTCAAATCTATGCGCTAACTATTGAGGTGGTATGATGTTAGAATAACCCAATAATGTAGAGTGGTGTGCAAAAACATGCAAAAGCAAAGCAGTGACCGTAGACGGTTGGCTGTTGAGAGATAACGCGTTGTAGCTTAGAAAAAGCGGTGTGCAGAGCGAGCGCCGGTGGTGCAACGGTTTAGCACACGCTCCCGGAATGAGTGTGATCTGGGTTCAAACCCCGGCTGACGCAAATACTTTTGCACTCCACTCTACATTATTCGGTTTACTCTATCATCATTTCAAAGCACTACGCGTTCAAATATAAGTGAATTTTGATTAATTATCAGATATATTGAAAAATCAAATCTTCGAATGTGTTGTCAAATTGTCAAATCGAAGTCGTTCGTGAACATCGATTTATTTAAACAATTACCAACAAGCTTCGCAGGATTACGGTCAAAACGATCTGGTCCTCTGCCGGCTTTGATCATCTTCGTTGCTTACGCACCAACATCAAGCTATGACGATGACGAAATCGAAGCGTTCTAGATGGACCTCGAAAAATTCTTCAGAGAAGAGCACACATTCTTCAAGGTCATTGTCGGAGATTTCAATGCAAAATTGGACATAGAAGAACGACTGAAGAACGTCATTTTGGGACTCACGGACTAGAATGGAATGAACAGTGCAAGGACTATCTGAGTTTATCATAACGACCCAAACCGTCCGTGGTAACTCACAATTCCAAAAGCCTCACTCTCAGTGATAGGGGTGGGGTCTCCCAATGAAGAGAACCATAACGAAATAGACAAGATGTTACTAAATCGAAGGTTTTGCCTGATCCATGTCGCTGTTGTTCTTAAACTCTACATGAGATCAGACCATCGCCTCTCTCGCGCAACGTTCTGTTTTCGCGTTAAGGAGAGAAAGTCGCTAAATTTAATCAAATAAATCTCAGAACTACCATAAACTGGGATGTATTCAATTCATTAGTTGGTCTCTTCGGAAATATTGTTTTCGACAATATCGACGAAGAATACCACCGGCTCGTTGAATATCCTCACGTTAGCGCTATGAAAGCAGAGAGTTTGAAGGCCACGAAGAAACGCTTGTCTCCGCAGACACTCGACCTGATACGTCAACGTGGAATCGCACAAGCTACAGGCAACCAAAGCCTAACGTCCGAACTTGCGAAACGCTTCAGAGAAGAGATAAAAGAAGACCTCAGAAAGAGATGAGCAGTCGCTATGGCAGAAGCTGTAGAAGCTGGGAAGAGCATTCGCATAACCCAGCGAGGCTTCCCCAACTATAAGACCAAGGTGATTGCACCCCAATGCCCTGACGGGACACTTACAGCTTCCAGATGGGCAATGGAGAGAATCATCCACTAGAGCCACTCGAATCTCTTTCCTAGCATGTCCTCTTACCGTCATATAAATTGAAAGAGGACGAGCCTGTCGTTCCACTGGCCATTCTTACAAAATCCGCCATACTTTATTACCGGTGAAGAACACAACAGCACCCTGTCCAGAGAGGATTAGGACAGAACAACTGAACGACCTACCGCCAGTGCTCCTCAACACCCTGGCTTGGCTTTTCATTCGCTACCTGTCAGAAAGCAAAAGTTCCCATTTAATGGAAAAGCAGCAAAACCGCATTATTGTTCAAAAAGAAGAGCATCACGAAATAAGCAGTTATCACCCAATTTGCTTGCTATCCAGTGTATAAACTCTTTACACGAGGCGTCCTAAACAGGATTGACAGAACACTGGACGAAAGACAGCCAAGCGAGCAGGCAGGGTTCCGAAAAAGATTTAGTATCATAGACCACCCCCACACGATTACCAGAGTAGTTGAAGTTTCGCGAGAGTACAAGCAAACACTCTGTCTCACTTCATCGATCTAAAAAAAGCCTTTGATTGGTGGAAGCAGAAGCGGTCGTAGAGGCTCTGGATAACCAGAGTGTCCCTATTCAGTACATAATGATCCTTCGTGGCTTCATAAAAATTTCACGACCAAAATACCTCCATTCTACAACATCATCACCATTGACGTAAGAAGAGGGGTTCGACAAGACGATACAATTTTGCCAAAACTATTCACTGCCACCCTACAAAACGCCATGTGAACATTGGAATGGGACGATATGGGAGTGGAAATTGACGGTCGACAATTAAACCATCTTCTCTTTGCTGATGACATCGTCCTTATAACACCAAATATGAGCCAAGCGGAAAGAATGTTGACCGATTTCGACAATGCCTGTGGAAAGATTGGCATTCAACTAAATCTACCGCCGAAAATGATCTTCATGAGGAACGGATGGATTTTGAATGCCCCATTCACGCTCAACGGAACGACAATCTCCGAATGCTGCAGTTACGTCTATCTAGATCGTGAGATCAGCACGATGAACGTCCTAGCTCCAGAGTTAAGCAGAGGAGGGAACGAGCAGCTTGGGGAACGTTTAAGAGCGTCGAAGATATAAAGAGAAGGACAAAGAACATCCGAATCCGCGCCCACCTTTTCGACTCGACGATCATCCCTGCCCTTACGTATGCAGCAGAAACCTGGTCGCTACGTAAGTAGGATGAAAGTCACTTGGCGTTATTGAACGCGCAGTCGTAAGCTCGATGCTTGGAGTATCTCGTATCTTGCAAATGGGAGAAAGGATGCGAAGTTCCGAGCTACGTCAATGATCGAAAATCACAGACACCGTTCTACACGCCAGGATATCAAAAATAAGGGTGGGCCGAACACGTGATGCGCTTCAACTACAACCGATGGACAAGAGCCGTTGCCGACTTGGATTCCTCGGCACACCAAGCGCTTTGCGGAAAAACCCACCGATCCGATCGCCCGATTTCTTTACGAAAGGCAAAGAAGAAGGATATGATGCTAAGCGAATCCCTAGTGCGACGAGCACCCACTGGGCTACTCTTGCACGCGATAGGGAAAAATGGAAGTGTTGCTGGTACTCGCTCGAGTCACTCGACGATCAACGGAACGACAGGTGATACAGGAGTTATTGAAATTTGGGTATAGTCTTAAGAAAACACTCGAAACGAACGTTATACTAATAACTTCTTACTACAAATTGTTTGAACTGTAGTCGCTTCCAGTGAAATGTGCTCATGTTTCCTTTCCTTCAACAGAATATTTCTGCTACACTATCAGTGATCATTTGGTCGGATGAGAAATGGAGATTTTAGTACTGAGTGTGGCTTGTAAAAGACTTTCTTAGTGTGTTGTGCCGAAAAGGACTACGTTCTGCTACTGGGCTAATTACCCCGTTTTTCAACTTTGCACTTGATTTTAGATAATATGAAGTAAAGCTTTGATTTTGAAAACTTTCTATCGATAAAAAAGATAAATTGTTTGTCAAAAATCATGATGATAAATGATGCACTGATTCAGTCTTCTCCCTCACTACCCTATTGATACTAATCAGCGCATATTCGTGGAAAGGCCTCAGCACGGTTACCTAAAAGGTTGCAAGAGGAATCGTCTTAACCAGTATCTTACGACATTCCTGTAGAAGACGAGATCCTCAAGTAGCATCCGAGGAAACAAATAAAGTGTCTGAGAACCGGTGCGGAGAATGAATGCGAGGAAATCAATCGAATCGAGGAAGTGCAAGAATTTTCAGTGCAAATTGTGTGATAGGCGGTCGTAGAACCTTGCTTGCATACTTGCTTGAGCGCTTGTGTGGCTCATCTTTACTGATAGTGCAAGCCCGGCAGAGTTTCTACGTTTCTATCTCGCAAAATTGTCGCCAATGACGGTGGCCTACTTCGCGCATGGTAACGTATGCGAGACCCATTTCGTAACTCTAAACTCGTTACCACCTGCGGATGCACAGGGCTGACGTTGGCCAGTCATTTGGTTGGTCTTTCAGGAACTCGTGAAACCGGTTGAAAATAATAGTTATTCATTTGAATAATTGGCCCGTCCTCAATTTTCTCGCAGATCCCGCTTCATCTATTTTTAGCACATTGAACGCCCATGTGTCTTAGTAATTCGCATTTTCCGATGGGAAAATTACTTCTTTACGAAGAAGATATATTTTGGCTTCTATTGCACATTTTCGTCGCCTGTAATGTTGGAGTGTTACTCGAAAATACATTTATACATTGTACGACTTCTAGGGGTAGCTTATATGGAGGTCTCTTTGATACGTACTCAAAATAATTGCTGAAAGTGTACGTATGTACCATTGTGTGGAGTAGTTTTTTCGAAAACGATTGATATTTGTGGCCCTCATTCCGTATCTTACCGATGTTTACCTCCCGCTTAGAATATTGATGTAACAATTTGATTTTTACAATCAGCGTCGATTAACAAAAATCTGCTTTATACAAACAACACCGACCAACAATTTACCCTTCTTGCATATAATGTATTCATAAAAGAAAAAAATCTATTGAGTTGATCAATCCCTGAGGGATGCTCCATACATTCGTCTCCAATTTTCAACTTCATTGGAGGTGATTGAATGCTTATCTGACCTTTACAATGACTCTCGGTGGCCTATAGCTGAACCGAGTAAGGGTTGCTCATCCTCCTAGACAAGCCTGAGACCAGTCTGGTACCAATTTACGGGTCCCGGAAGGATGGATGGCTTGGTGAGCCATGAGCGCGAAATCGACCATTGACCACTTGTGCGACGCAGATCACCTCTAGCTACTGCGCCACATCAGCTTTAAGAGATGTAGTAAAAAAAATTGGAGAAGAGTTAATAATTTATCAAAAATGATTATGCACACTGTATTCGAAACCTATTCATCGAAAACTGTCACTATAACTGAGCTTGTATCAATCATTCCTTTACTTCCAGTCAATCACAGTTGACGTACATGGTAAAAGGTTGAGTACTTATGGACAGTGGAAAAATTCTGGGAGGGTGGAAAAACGAAGAAAGGTGGGGAGTTTTAGAATGACTTGACTGTTGATCTTTATTCTATTAGACTTTTGATGCTTGCGAAATATTAATTGAGTAATCAGATATGGTATGGTTTATACGTCTAGGCTCTGACGAAGTAGTTGCCGCCGAAATGTTAGCCATTGAATTTTGAGAAAAAGAAAAAATTACCAACTTCGTTTAAGTTTCAAATAAAGAAAAGGACTTTAGATTAAGTTAAACGCGCAAGTACTCGTTTTATTCCTGTATCAAACAAGCACAATCACAAATGCAGACGATACGTGGCACAGCTTCAGTGCATATCACTTTTCCTCGGTCTCATTCTTGTT